GATTAATTAAAGTGCGACATTAATTTCTTGACGAACTTATTCATGTGTTTTATACCAATTTCGGTAATCGAGACATCTCAGGTGAATCAACGGTAAATTTATTTGTTTTAGAACGAAGCCACATTGCGCTACCTGCTGTGTGCACCGCAAAAGTTTGAATCCTGGATCTTACAACGCCAAAATCCGGGGTTCGAATCTTTACCATGGACACAGCGCAGCCAGTCCAAACAAACACTAATCAGACACTAAGTATCACCCCGTTTAGCGCCCAGGAAGGGCTCCTGAGAACAGAGCTCTAAACATGGTTATTTTAATATTACGTATATGGAGATATTTAACTGAAGGCATTGACTGTTTCTTACCCGTTAATGATGTACAAGTGATTTATTTAGGTATTGGTAAATTTAACGTAAAATACTCACTATAATATCGCCATCGCTGGAAAATAGCAATTTTTTTTTATTATTATTTGCCTTCAATCTTGTTTGGTTACAGAGCCATCAAATAGAAAATCAGACTTTTCCTGCCATGTCCACGTGTCATATCCTCTCTTTCAGGATTTGTCAATACATGTAGTTTCTCTCTTACGTTTACAAGTACATTAGTTATAACCAATAGACAGGCAAGGTTTTCGTCTATCAAATGACGTATTATATTATGTTGTTTTCTGTACAGAGATTTGTAGATCGCTTCCTAAGAAAATGCGTTGTTTTTTTTCCCACGGGAACAACATTGTTTAGATGGAAGACATTTTAACGGTTCATATTGCTTAGCTAGAAACACCAAAAAAATTGTGATAGTTAAAGAACATTGACTGCTTTTTGCACATTATTTTTTTTCGTTGCATTATTTTATTAAATAAAAATTATTTAGTGCACTACTACTATCAGTATGAAAAAGTAGTGTTCAGAGAGTTATGGATTGAAAATATTTTTTTTTCTCTCAATCTCTCAACGAGATATGAGCTCTAGAACGAATCAGCTTAAAGCTGTGTCTTCTGTATACAGGTTTCAAGGAATACCATCTCTCACCATTAACCCAGAATAAAGGCGAAAGGAAGTCTTCTTATATCGGAGAATTATATAGTATATGTAGGGTGTTTTTATAATTTCATTCAATACAGTGAGAACCCATAATTATATAGGTTTAGAAGAATATCTGCTAGGATATTACACGTTCTTCCAAAACTACACAAACTTAGGTTCACTACGAAAACTAGAATAATCTTAGTTCCGAATTCAAGTAAGTACACAGGCTTATTAAATTTTAGACACGTTTGTAAACATTCAAGGACTTCTTTACCTCATTTCTGAAGACGTAACCGAGGATTCCACCCACAAGCATCATGATAAATATCATGAAGAGAATGATGAAATACTGAAAAAGAAATCCAAATGTTACCGTTGAAAAATATATTCAGGTAATTAAAAAACAATTATAATTTACTTAAAATTAAAACGTTAAAATATATACTGATTTAAAAAGTTGTTTTAATTTACGAGTTATAAGTTGTACGGAGGAAGAAACCCGTTTCATACCGAGCTCTAATGTCTAAAACAATTTCCTAATAAGTATCCAACAACTGATTCAAAGTGTTCTAATCATTATAGGTTTCAGTTTTCTTGCTCATTTATTTGCAGACAACTGATATCAGTAAATAGTTGTTTCACCTCCTGCAACCAAAAACGTTGGTTTCCTTGGATATCAAGTCTTCAGCGGTAAACATCAGTGTGGGATGTATATGATTTTCAAATGTAAAAGTCTGCACACTTATAAATAGTTCTGGTTACCTTGAAATATGTAAATGACATGAAGACTGGAAGTACTGAACAGGTTATATTTTTTATAGGTTACAACAGGAATATATTGTGACATCTCATCGACAAATGAAATCGAACCGGTTTTTATTATTATTATTTATTTTATTAAATGGGTCAATGTCATAAGGGGTATTCTATTCATTTATTGTTGCCCCCCTATTGACTAGCGTGACAAGTCATTTTTACAACAGTTCTTCAAATAGCTTTTGGTTAGAATGTTATATATTTTTGTGTACAGTGTATATGTACTTCAAAACTTTATATAATATCATGTTTAGACAAGTAACGGTGTACTTAAAAATAGACTCCAAAAGTACTGTATATGTTCATTAATTAAGTGTGTATATTTAAAAAGGAAAATTATCTAACGTGTTAAGACTTTGGTTGTAGGTAAGCACAAAGTTACACAATGGGCTATCTGTGCTCTACTCACCACGGGTATCGAAACCCAAATTTTAGTGTCATAAGACTACAGGCTTGCCACTGAGCCACAAAGAAGGAGGCGCCTTGTTAAGTTACACAGAATTGTTCGATTTCTAGTCTGCTGTAAACTTCTAGAATATTTACATTGTTTGTACTCTCAAAATCGTTTAAGGAGTAAGAAAAACTCATCTTACACGACTTCAACTGGTGCTGTAAACCTCAACCAACTACTGCTATTAAACTGAAGAGTATTCCTTAACTTGTGAGAAAAATCTCATCTTACACGACTTCAACTGGTGCTGTCAACCTCAACCAACTACTGCTATTAAACTGAAGAGTATTTCTTAACTTGTGAGAAAAATCTCATCTTACACGACTTCAACTGGTGCTGTTAACCTCACCTCACATTAATGATTTGGTTTACAAACGATTTATTTAAGTTAATTAGATCAGTTTTCTGTAGGTAATAACCAGGAATTGACCGTGGTAGCGACAACAAATAACAATACGAAACCAATTAATTACACAATATGGAAGTCCACAAACAAATACATATTCTGTATATTCCATAAACTTGTCAATTTAATGAGGAATTTCGGCTTGTCTGTTTATAGTGAAACACAAAGCTACACAATGGGCTATCTGTGCTGTGCCCACCACTGGTATCGAAACCCAATTTTTAGCGTTATATTTCCGCAGACTTACCACTGCGGGGAATTAGCTAAAGAACTTCGCAGATAATGTTTTAAACGTCATTATAAGATCATATTTCATTCACTCATTCTTGCAGAACTGCCAAATCCATACGATCGTCTTTTAATTGTCCAATTGTAAGAACAGTGAAAGATGAGTTTAAATGATTGTGACAGTTAGGTTTCACATATCTATAGTTCATCTGTTTTTGAGTTTCGCGCAAAGCTACACGAGGGCTATCTGCGCTAGCCGTCCCTAATTTAGCAGTGTAAGACTAGAGCGAAGGCAGATAATCATCACCACCCACCGCCAACTCTTGGGCTACTCTTTTACCAACGAATAGTGGGATTGATCGTCACATTATAATGCTCCCACGGCTGAAAGGGCGAGCATGTTTGGTGTGACAGGGATTCGAACCCGCGACCCTCAGATTGCGAGTTGAGTGCCTTAACCACCCGGCCATGCCGGGCCGGATATCCATAGACAGACACTCCTTGGTGGTGTAAAGCCATATCTTATGATCATTATACACACATACTTATTGATAAAGCCTATTCTAGAAAAGGAATAGAGTTTAATTTAAATATAACTAAACACTTATTTAATAGCGTCTTCTGCCAGTGACTATAGAAACAGTGTGTCTTTGCAGTTGAAAGCATTAATAACTAACCAGACACATTTGGACAGGTCGTGGCTTTTAAACTGGAGTTGACTATTTTACCACTACCAGCAAAAAATATCCGCGCCAAGCGCTGCATTTATTTCGTTGGCCTCGCGGAGATGGAGGTTGCTCGTGCTTCATTCAGCAACAGTAGGAAGTTGGTTTGATTTTGTTATAATTTTGCGCAGAGCTACACGAGGGCTATCTGCGTTAGCCATCCCTAATTTAGCAGTGTAAGACTAGAGGGAAGGCAGCTACTCATCACCACTCATCGCCAACTTATGTGCTATTCTTTACCAACGAACAGTGGGATTAACCGTCACATTATAACGCCCCCACGGCTGAAAGGGCGAGCATGTTTGGTGTGACGGGGATTCGAGCCCGCGACCCGCAGATTGCGAGTCCAGCGCTCTAACCACCTGACCATGCCGGGCAACAGTAGCAAGATGGGGAATGCAAGTCAAACAAAAAATAATAAGCAAATGAAATATAAAGGGTTTTAAAATGCAGCCGAGAGAAACCTAACAACCATTGACAGGTTCATGGTGATCAAAGCTTCAAACAGCTTCTTGTTTAGACCTTGTCTCATCTTAAACATCGCGATATATTAGCCCTTTGGTGTGTGTGTGTGTGTGTGTGTGTGTGTGTGTGTTTCTTAGTTTCTTATAGCAAAGTCACATCGGACTATCTGCTGTGCCCACCGAAGGGAATCGAACCCCTGATTTTGGCGTTGTAAATTCGTAGACTTACCGCTGTCTTAGCGGGGGACGTACCTCTGGGATTACGACCGAAAACGTTGATAATTTTCAATGCATTTTAACCATTAAAGATTTTCTGTTTCTTTTGCATTCATTTATGATAGGTGTATCTTATTAGCTAGCTTTATAGAATTAGCTACTATTTTTTTAGTTCTTAACCGTATAGTTACCTTGTGATCGAACATGTTAATGATAAACATGTGTAAAGTCAAATCAATCCTATTTTTTTATTATTATTATTCGTTAAAATAACAGTTCACCTTTCACAAATCAATACTTATAGGCAGAAAACTTACCGTCAAGAGCATACATTTGATTTCTTTGACGGCTCCCATGCATCCAAGAAAAGCAACGATGATAACTATTACACCACTAGCAATAAGAATTGCTGCTGAACTGACGTACAGGTTGCTGCCTAGCAGACTTTCCATGAATGCTTTGTCTGCTAACGTCCATACTCCTATTGCGAAAACTATGATCCCCCCGACCTTGACGGAGGAGAAACAACAAAATGAATGTTACATATACAACAACTGGTAAGTTCATCAGATACACAATTCAAATAATTCAAAATTTAATTGAGTCTAATCACTAAATGGGTACTTCTAACGAGCTATGGAGTCAGGTTTAGCCGAGTAGTTAGCGTGCCAGACTGTAGATCGAAAGGTTCAAGGTTCGATACACTGAAAAAGTTCAACGCTTCAGCTGTGAACGCGTTATAAAAATGAGTCAATCCAATTAAAGAGTCGGACAAAGATCTTGTGGCGGCGAGTGCTATTGGTTGGCTGCCTTTCTTCTGGTCAGACGTTCAAAATTAGATCCGGTTACACCAAAGCTTCAGGAGTCTTTGGCCTGGCTCTGGTTTCCATAAGGTACCATTCTGGCTGAAAATTTGATGATTAATTATACATTATTTAAAACTATTTAAAATCAAGGAAATCATATGACTTTCAAAAACAGGTGTGATGGGGGGCCTTCGTTCAAGTGTGGTCTTTATTTTTAACTTGTAGCGTGTAAAAGCCCTCTAGACTCTGACTCTGTACACTACCTCAAACTTTTCTGTGTATAATTGAGCACGTGTCGCGCCCCAAGAGTTTTTTTTAAATCTACATTGAAAGTTGATCGTTCCTAGTATGAGAGATATGTAATTTAACATGGGGGGGGGAGACTTATATTAATTAGGAAACCCAAACGTTATGATGTAAAATATATAGAATGTAGATGAATGGATGAATTCGTAGGTTTGTAGCTAAACAAAAAAACAACTCGAATCATGTTTATCAATGATTGAATTCGTAGGTTTGTAGCTAAACGAAAAATAACTCGAATCATGTTCATCAATAGTTGAATTCGTAGGTTCGTAGCTAAACAAAAAACAACTCGAATCATGTTTATCAATGGTTGAATTCATAGGTTTGTAGCTAAACAAAAAACAACTCGAATCATGTTTATCAATGGTTGAATTCGTAGGTTCGTAGCTAAACAAAAAACAACTCGAATCATGTTTATCAATGGTTGAATTCGTAGGTTTGTAGCAAAACCAAACACAACTCGAATCATGTTTATCAATGGTTCAATTCGTAGGTTTGTAGCTAAACGAAAAACAACTCGAATCATGTTTATCAATAGTTGAATTCGTAGGTTCGTAGCTAAACAAAAAACAACTCGAATCATGTTTATCAATAGTTGAATTCGTAGGTTCGTAGCTAAACAAAAACAACTCGAATCATGTTTATCAATGCTTGAATTCGTAGCTAAACCAAACACAACTCGAATCATGTTTATGAAACACAAACTGTGTTTAATAGACCGTTGAAAATATAAAAAAAAGTAGCTGCTAATACCACTCAATACTAAAAATGCAAAATTATTAGTGTAATGACCGAAGAAATAACTATCAATGTACTTTCCTAATTACTAATTTGTCATAAATCCCCCCTCCCCCAAAATCATATGTACGGGTTAAGTGAAAAGGAGAAAATCGGGATGGTAGAAGTAGCACCTCCTAGGGAAAGAAAAACAAACTATTTTTTTTTGCTCCACAGTCAACCCTACCAAAAGTATATAGAAGACCAAACATTCAAAGCTACACAACTTAATTATTTCCTACATGCGAACGACTTCTATGATTTTCTCTAACCTTACCGTGTAGATACGTTTCTAAAAGTGTTTTTTGTGTGTTTTTTGAATTTCGAGAAAATAAAAACTTCGAAACTACACATTAAAACCGATCGTAACAATGCTATTAATCAGCATACAGCCTCAAAAATGAAACGTTTGCATGTAGAAAATTTCGGTATAACAAACAAAAAACGGTTTTTTTTGGTGTATTTTTGCATACTGGTCGAAATTTATTTTGTTTTATCGTTGTCTTTGTTAGTAGCCTGTCTAATTAGCTACTAATTTATTTTTACCACACGATTACTGGATGTTAATTAGTTTACACCCTTTGTTTCGAATTGCTGATCTGCTGCCTTTGTCAAGGAAATCCTGGGAAGGTTTGGTTTGTTATAAATTTCGCGCAAAGCTTCACGAGGGCTATCTGCGCTAGCCATCATAATTTAGCAGTGTAAGACTAGAGGGAAGGCAGCTAGTCATCACCAGATACCGCCAACTCTGGGCTACTCTTTTACCAACGAATAGTGGGATTGACCGTCACATTATAACGCCCCCACGTCTGAAAGGGCATATTTGGTGGGACGGGGATTCGATTCCGCGACCCTCAGATTGTGAGTCGAGTATCTTAACCATTTGGTCATGCCGGGCCTCCTGGGAAGGTTTGGTTTGTTATGAATTTCGCGCAAAGCTTCACGAGGGCTATCTGCGCTAACCGTCCCTAATTTAGCAGTGTAAGACTAGAGGGAAGGCACTAGTCATCACCACCCACCGCCAACTCTGGGCTACTCTTTTACCAACGAATAGTGAGATTGACCGTCACATTATAACGCCCCACAAGGTTGAAAGGGCGAGCATGTTTGGTGGGACGTGGATTCATACAGCTTAACACATGGCAGTATTACACTGTATTTCACAAGACACTAAAAGTTGTTACCACAAGATACATCATTCTTTTTGCTGGAAGTACAACGAAATGTATTGTTCTATATCTGAGGTTTTATTCTTATCTTACCGAAACGGTGATATGAAATTAGGTCTTTAGTTCAACCAGAAATTTCATAATCTGTAAAATGTGGTGCTCAAAAGTTTTTTTCTAGGAACAGCAAGTTATTATTATTATTATTTCTGTCACCTTTAAGATTGCAATTCAAACAATAGCTAAATCCTGGATCGAGCGTTTATGTACATGCACTGATTCATTTACTTTTATAACGTTTTCAGCATTGGACTTTGAGTTATGTGTGGCCTTTTGGAAAATGAATAAATGATAAAGATTCTTGTCAAAACTCAAAACCTACGTACAGAAAGATTAGTGGTTCCATTGCCCCTCTCTCTCTCTCCTCCCCCACCTGCTTCCATCTGTCATTTACATTGTTTTATCCGCTAAGCATGTGGCTGATTAATAATGCATCAGGGGTGGGGTCTGCTATGGGTGTGCACACATCCTCGCCAGTTCTAAGCCATTTTTTGTCATCAATCAATAATTGATGTTTCTAAATTTATGAAAAAATAGAAAATCTCGTGACTATATAGCTTACAAGTTTTGCCAGGGTTTAGTACAACTTTCATACTTTCGGCAGTTAAATATCGTATCAAAATGGGTTTTGTTTGATGGACCCAGCAGGGGTGTATTTTAGGCCTTTCTCAACAAGAAATAATCGGAGATTTTTCAAGGAACAATGCGAAAGAAACGTTTAGAATTACCTTGATCTTTACGTTGAATTGGTTAGAAAATAATTGCTTTTTGACGAATTATCCTCACAATTCGATAATAATGTCTGCGCAGAAAAATAAATTTCAGGAGGTGAAAACGCACCAAAATCTTGTTTTGACGGTATCCGTCTTTTAGTATCCATTTTATTCGTTGTGAGTGCATAAAAGTATTTAGTGATTTGTTTGGTTTGTTATGAATTATGCGAAAAGCTACACGAGGGCTATCTGCGCTAGCCGTCCCTAATTTAGCAGTGTATGACTAGAGGGAAGGCAGCTAGTCATCACCACCCACCGCCAACTCTTGAGCTACTCTTTTACCAACGAATAATGGGATTGACCGTCACATTATAGCGCCCCCACGGCTGAAAGGGCGAGCATGTTCGGTGTGACAGGGATTCGAACCCGCGACCCTCAAATTGCGAGTCGAGTGCTCTAACCACCTGGCCATGCCAGGCCCCCATTTTATGAAAAAATTTTCAACGAATATAATTAAGTTCGTTGTGAGTGCATAAAAGTATTTAGTGATTTTGTGTAAAAGCTGTAATAAAGAAAAAGCAAACAAAGTGATACATCATATAACGTTGAAGTATAAAGATAATTAACTAAAAAATTATTTTTCATTTAAACTAAAGTTATTTTCCTAGTATAATGTCAGAAAAAGATCTTGAATTGTTCCGAACTTCAAAATATCTGTTTACAAGGTACTTACTATAGGGTGTCCCCAAAAGTCTGGAACTATGGGTAATTAGCAGTTTTTCATAATTTCAGATACATGACTAATTATGGCGTTGTCAAAGCATGATACTGGTGTAGTAAGGAGTTCCAAAGTTGGGGTGCTCGGCTAGATGTGTATATTTTATAATGAATACAAGGAACTACTAAAAACAGCTCCCGTGCCTCCAAAGGCAGCTTAATCTAGGGAGGGTCTGGGGGCATGCCCCTCAGAAAATTAACATAATCATATAATTTGCAGTTGCAAAACAATTCAACAAATATGTAAAAAGTGGGGATGCTTCAACTTCCCCGCTTCCGACGCCTCTGCATAAGAATGGCAAGTTAATCCTGCTGTTAATCCAAACTAGCTTCGAATTACAAGGACAGCGTGTGGAACACATTCTGTAAAATTCGTTGAAGTGCCTATGGTTCCAGACTTTTCGGACACCCTGTATAAACAAAGTGGAAGGGATTTGACCGAAAGAAAGTTTGAAAACATGTCAGAGTTTTTAAAATATTTATGAAGTAATACAGTTACATTATGCTTAATAAATAACTGTTACCTTTGAAAATAAACCATTGAATCAGCCTTTGGAATAAACAGAACAAATAACGTAAGGGTTCTAAAGAAACTAATTTTTGCCGTGATGGTTTGCAAGACAATACATCTCTAGATGATAATGTATAGCGAGGGTTTATTTGTGGAAATACATATTTTAATAAACAGCAAATAATGGTAATATTATTATAATGGTAGAGAAAAAAAAATGTCTCGAAGAACGAATTATGGTAGGAAGTACACGCTATACCGCTAGCAATACAAAGTATACAAACTGGTATTATCATATCTTAATTTTAAAAGCTATTGTTTTCCAATTTTCAAAATGTTACTTACCAAAATCATTAAGTTGGCCATAAGCATAGCATATTTGATGAGTTTTCTACAGCCTTCAACCATACTGATTCTGTAAAGAAAATCGTATAGATATCAATCACTGAATAAAACAACACCGATTTTCACACACCCTCAACCATTTTTAATCTGTAAACAAAATATTATAGATGTCAACCACTGAATAAAACAGACTTTAACCCCTCAACCAACTCGATTCTGTAAACAAAATATTGTAGATATCAACTACTAAAGAAATAAAACAATGACTTTTCTAAAGCTCTCAATCGTACATACTGCTATCTTTTTTTTTTATCTTGGTCATTGAATAACAAACAATTGGCACACCCTTCCTGTCAATAACGTGTAAACTATTTCAGAGAAGTCAGAGAGTAACTAAAACATTGGCATTTCTACAGCCATTAAGATGTTTTTTTAAAAAGGTTTGTTTGGGATCAGTCACCGAATATCAATACTGATTCATAATCAGTGCTACAAAACACAAATATCTTATTTCACGTAACTTGTAGATTCCCTTTCTGTTAGACTGTTATCCCAGTTAAGTTCATTAGAAGTTACAAGCTATCTAACAGTTATCATTGACCTTCGGATCCACAGCCCGGGACGCTAACCACTAGGCCACCTGTATAATTTTACACAATATTTTTTTTTTATCTTTTCTCATTCATTAAATATCAATACAGCAAT